AGGGTGTGTGTGTGTGTGTGTGTGTGTGTGTGTGTGTGTGTGTGTGTGTGTAGGGGGTAAACCCATTGGGAGCTGGCTGGCAAAGGAGAATTGGCTGGTGATAGAGTGTATGTACATGTTGGCTAAAGGCTGACTTTTCTTTAGTTAAGGCGTATAAAACAAAGCAGCTGACGCACTCAAAGAACACACACACACTGAAAAACAAGAACTCTTGTATCTGCTTACTAAGTGAATGCACACTATCTGTGCTCAGTCAGTAGGCTCATTCACAGAACGTTTCCACTAAATGGTCACAGAGACCATTCTTGTCTTGTTGCTGCCTCTGACGTGCAGAACTCTCCGATGGCGCTGGCCACGTTCCTTTTAGACCTGAACTTTCAGAAATGAAGTGAGCATCGCAGAACCAACAGAGGCGTGAAGCAGAACTCAGCTGTGCGGACATGGAGCGCAACGCATTCAGTGTGCGACAGACATCTCCCTTGAATCGTTTTCAAAATATAGCATTTTACAGTAGTCCCTCGCTACTTCGCGGTTCATTTATTGCAGCTTCGCTAGATCGCGTTTTTTCTAAATAAGATTAGACATGATGTGATTGATGGCTGAGCCATGGATTGTTTATTTAAAACTAATTATTTTAAATGATTTTGCACCATGTGTGCTGCCCACAAGTGCAGGGGAAGCTCCCTCCTGCAGCTGATCAGCTGATCTCCTCTGCCACGCACACACATTTCTCCTGCTGCGGCTGTGTGAAGGTTTAACCCTTTGATGTCCTGCTGCTCTTCTCTACAATTTAAATACTGTAACATTTTACATAAACAATCCATGCTGTATGGATTGTTTATGTAAAATGTTACAGTATTTCAGTTTAAATTGTGTAAGGAGGGAGATTGGGAGTAACAGGTGATGAGTGATTGCAGCCTGGCACATGTCATGACAAAGTTTACTGAACTTGAACTTGGACTACTGTATCTCCTCTGTGGTTTTTCACTTATCACAGGTGGGCGTGGTCCCTAACACCCGCAATAAACGAGGGACTACTGTACTTCAGTTTAGCAATTCTCTTTGCGGTTAACTAATTTTTTAAAACTAAATGCAAAGTTGCTGTGCATCGTCATCAATCCTCCCTCGGTAATAAACCAGTTTGTTGTGGTTTAATCTCGTCATTGGATGGTTGCACATACCTTATATCATTATTTAATCATATTATTAAGCCGCTAAGCCGGCTTACCTTTTCCCATGTTGACTGTTTCGGCTCCATTACTGCCTCGCTCCACTCAGAAATCACACAGAGGTGGCCAAAACAGGTTTAAGTCCCGGCTTGTTTTGTGCCTACAGTGTGTGCATGTTCCTATGGATGTATGTGTATAATCTCCGAGCAGTTACCTGGATGATGCAAACAATGACTTGGGCCAAACTGTCCACGTGCTTACGTTTCAGTGTCTGTCAGATGTGAACACGCGGACTCACCTGTTTTTTAGATGTGCGCATACCCATGATTTTCTCCACAACAGGACCTTCAACCTCAGCCATATCCTGTGGGGGCGGGGAAATCAAGATTAATTGAACTTGGTACACAATACAGTTTCACCAGTCCCACAAAACAATAATTTATTCAGGGAAAATGAACTACTTCCATTAACCAGAACCCTGTTTTAATATACGACTTTATTGCCAATATATTTACAACAAACCTATCTGAGAAGACCTGTATTTATTAAAGGCCAGATTAAAAAGAAAACAGAATAATTAACCTCAAATATTAAACAATGTTAAAACAGAAGCAGTTGTTCAAAATTTACCCACAAATGTATTGTTCAATTTATTATGTATCCCCACCTAACAAACATGTCATCCAGTCTGGGCAGGGTTTAAATCTTTAATGTTTAAAGACACACTCCAATAATAAAAAAAAGGTCACCTGTTGTTGCGAGGATGATGATGGAGATTTTGGTGTTGGCGAGTCATCTCCGCTGTCGTCATCCTCAGAGATCCTGAACTCCAGGTCTTCGGTGTACCTCTTCCTCTTCACCTGACGACATGAACGACGCTTCTGACAGGGAAGAAGAGAAACACTAAGGTTGGGTTTATCAGTGGCAACCGTCCAGTAAGAAATAATGTTTCCTTTCTCCCATCACTTGAATTAGAAAGCTCGGTATAAAAAAAAAAGTAAAAAGCAAACGGGGTGCAGGGGGTGTAACGTCAGAGGGGAAAGGCGGTCTATTTTCTCCACTCTTCATTTTCATAAATATGTTATGAACAAATTAGCATATGATGCAGATTGTCATTAGCCAAATATTGGGGTGTAAATTTTGTGAGATAAGGGCCTCCTGGCGTAAAAACACAATTATAACAGATGCTAGGGCACATGTTTTAAGATCATAAAGCTCATGTCTCGGTTTTATTTTTTTAAAGTTTGGGAAGTGAAAAGCCAGGAAGACGATAAGAGTGAGAAAAAAATACAATTTATTTTTTTTATATCTAAATATCAAACTACTTGACACATACCAGGTATAACTCTGACGTCACCTGCACAGCAGAATGGTAGCACTGACAGGAGCTCTGCTTCGACTCCATCTTTTTTGTTACTGTTCTTTTAACTTTTTTGCACCTGCACCTACACCCACGCTACAGGTATGACCGCGACGCACTTGTGGAGTTTTGTGGGTCGCTGCCTTGCCATCGTGGTTCAGTTCCCGGCCCCACTCCAGCATCAGGCTCAGGGTCTGGCCTGTCATGGTGGCTGTCTCCATGATCCTCCAGCCGTCTGCATGAACCAAACTCTACGGACCAGTTCAGTTCTGCGGAGAAACCTTGGATGTTCTCCGTCTGCCGGACTCGGTTCTGGAGGCAGTTTGGGGTGCAGCTGCTGCGGTCCTTATACCATCAAGCTGCTAACAAGACCTGCTAACAAGACCTGCTAACAAGACCTGCTAACACTGCTAAAAAGACCATGCCGCTAACCGAACCACACTGCTAACAGTACCATGCTGCCAACTGGACCACGTTGCTAAGAGAACCTCACTGTCATCAGAACCACTCTGCCAACAGGACCATGCTGCTGTAGATTTATGCATTTTTCACTTTTGGTGCCTTGTTTCTGTATGTTTGTTGCGTGCTTCAATATTTGCCGACGTCTTTTTGGCGAGTCGAGATGGTTCTTCTTGTCCTGAGCATTTCATTGTATTGTTGACCTTGTGTTGATTTTACATGACAAATAAACCAAACCTGAACCGTAATTCGTAAACAAATCCTTCTTGGGTTTGATGATAAAGATGTTAAATGTGGGATAAGATAATAGTGTGAATGTTTATGAAGAATTCACACTATTGTGAATCTATTATTCTTATGTATGTTTTCGGCACGATTCTCGTCCTGCAGTTTTGAATCTATTTCAATAAATCATAAATCAAAATGTTCAGCTCTTTCAAAACAACTATGACTTCTGGTATTGGTGCAACTTTAGCTTTTTGAAACATTTAGCCTTTTCTGCCATTTTTTTCCTCATAGAAAATAAATTGAGCTTATTTTACATCCTTTAGATCTGTTTAGCAGCACTGTGGCGCAACTGGTAGAGCTGCTGCCTCTCAGCGAGCAGGTCCCTGGTTCAAACCCCAGTCCAGGGGCCTTCTGGGTGGAGTTTGCATGTTCTCTCCGTGCACGCGTGGGTTTTCTCCGGGTGCTCCAGTTTCCTCCCACAGACCAAAAACATGCATGTTAGGCTAATTGGTAACTCTAAATTGTCCCTAGGTGTGAGTGAGAGAGTGAATGGTTGTTTGTCTCGTTTGTCTCCATGTGTCCCTGTGATGGACTTGCGACCCGTCCAGGGTGTACCCCGCCCCTCGCACAGTGATTGCTGGACATGGGCACCAGCGACCCCCGTGACCCAAAATGGAATAAGCGGGTAAAGAAAATGGATGGATGGATGGATCTGTTTACCACCTTTTACTGCTATTTTCACATTTTGTTCTGTTTCAACTTATTTCAGCTTCCTTATGCAAATTTAAACTTTTTTCCAGCTACTTTCAGCTAATTCAAGCTGTTTTTCAGCTGTTCTTGTGCTCCTTTTATACTCCAACTAAAATAATGTTGTGCTTCTTCTAATTTCATTCTACTAATTTCAGCTTGTTATGCTCCCTTCAGCTTATTTCAGCAAGTTTCAGCCTTTTCTGCTATTTCAGCTACTATTTAGCTGTTATTTATGCTAATTTTAGCTTTTTTGGCTAATTCCACATTTTATGCAGTCATTTCAAGTTTTTTCAGCTCAATTCAGCAAAAATGTGCTTGCTTCACTTCCTTCTGGTAATTTAAGCTTCTTTCTGCTTTTTAGCTACTTTTCAGCTGGTTTTTTTTTTTGTTGTTGTTGGCTAATTTCAGCTTTTTTCAGATAATATCCACTTCTTTGTGCTCATTTCTGCTTCTTTCAGCCTAATTGGGCAAACATGTTGTTTCTGCTTTCTTCTGCAAATTTAAATTTGTGCTACCCGTTCAGCTACCTTTTATTTATTTAATTTTTAGCATTTTTAACTAATTTCAGCTGTTTTCAGAAACAAGTTTTTCATGGTAATCTCTGCTACTTTCAGCTTTTTTCTGCTGGTTTCAGCTACTATTTAGCTCTTAATACAAATTTTAGCTTTTTCAGCTAATTCCACATTTTTTTAGCTCATTTCAGCTCCATGCACTTCCTTCTGGTAGTTTAAGAGTTATTTGCCTTTTCAGCTACTGCAGCTTTTTTGTGTGTGCCAATTTCTTAATTTTTGTGCTAATTTCTGCTTCTTGAAACCTATTTCAGCAAATATATGTTTTTTCTTTTTTCTTCTATTAATTTAGGCTTGTTCTTCCATTTCAGCCATTGTTCAGCATGCTTATTTTAGCTGTTTTTCAGCAAGTTCTTCTGCAATAAGCACTCACACTGCATTTTCAGAGGAAATGCAATTTCTCTAGTTTAAATGTGATATTTTCTCAAAATAGATCAAAAGTTTAAAAGTTGTTGACAGTGCAAAATGTCAACTCAACAGTAGGTTTATTTGCTTTATCCTTCAACAAAAGCTGGTTTACAACAAACGGCTCCTGGCTCACGCACTGCCTTACATTTATACACGCTGCAAATACTAAATACCCTGAAATGGTTGTTGGTCCTTTTGTTTTATAGTTTCAGGAAAGTTACAAGAAGTACTTAAGGCTTTGGATGCAAGCTGAAATGTAAGATGTGTAAGATGTGTCAGTCTTTCTGTCCTACCTGTACGCCATCATCATCCTCTTCCTCAGGAGGAGACGGCAGTGGAGACTTCACCTCCACATCGTCCCCACCTGACGACTCTCTCTTCCTCTTGGAGTCCTTCTTTGCAGCGCTGGCTCCGCCTTCTGATTCCACTTTTTTACTGCTGTAGGAAAAGATAAAAAAAATGGATCAAAAAGTAAAATAAAATTTAAAAATGCATCAAAAACCTATTTTTCACAGCATTTACGCATTGACAGACTACTAAGCCTTCATGACTATTTATATTTGCATGTGTGTGCGCCTGTCTGTCCCAGGGCGATCGCCATGTTTGATTTACCCATTTAGAAATCATTAGTGTGCCTCAGGCTCTGGCACACAGGGGGTTAATATGATGAAAGACTGCATGGAGGCATGGGAGCAAGATAGAGAGATACAGGCACAGAGAGGAAGAGATGGAGGGGGGTCCAGAGAGAGAGACAGGCAGACAGAGAGGCCCCTGAGAGAGGAGGTGGGAGGAGCTGAGAACTCCCCAGGCTTCCTCTAATCTCTGGCATGGAAAGAAAGAGGAGCTGGCTCCATCTGCGAGTGTGTGTGCATTAACACCACAGAGGTGAGAGGACACTCAGCATCCCTCTTCTGTCTCACTACTCCTATATTCTGTGTGCACGCAGCAAACGAGTGAGCCCTTTGTGTTCGACCTCCAACAGAACCGTCATGGTGGACACCGTCCTGTAAGAATGACCAGAACGATCTGGTTTCACAAACCACCTAACCTCCTGAGAGCTTAGCAGGCCAAAGATCTATAAACCCTCTAAAGTTCACTCCAAAGTGCACTAATCGCCTGAATTTAAAAAATCATACCTAAATTAAATGCTGTTCTTGAACCCTTTGGAGTAAATTCAAAAGCTTGGTCTCTGTAAAGACAACACCCTGAGTTTTTAACTTCAGCAGTCATAAACATTGTAACTGTAACTACTATGTAGTTGTTGAAGTTGAAACACAGGAAAAAAAAAAATCATACATTTTTGTCTCATCTGAAAATTTTAAATAATTTATTTATGCTTGCTGCACATGAAGGGAAGGAGGTATGGACTGGAAAATTATATGAGGCTGCAGCATCAAGTCTTCCCAGTTCAAATTTGGCAACAAGAACACCAAAAATTATTCAAGGTTCTTTATCGTCATTCGCATCACATGTGGTACACGAGGTGGAACAAAATTGTGTAAACAAGGTCCCAGTTACACCCAAAATAGCAAAAATGTAAAGTATAAAAAAAAAACCAGTACACAAGGATCTAAGATAAACACTAAACAGTAATAATGCAATATAATACAGTGTATTAAACAGCAGCCTGAACATGAGTCTGTAGTGAGCAGATGGCTATGAACACAGCAGCTCAGAGGGAACAGATCAGCAGCACAGAAAAGTCACATATCACCAATTAAAGTGAAGTAAATGATTGTCCTGGATATGTTTTTATGAGAGAATGTCCATGTGTTTTTAAGTGTCCAAATAGAGTCCAATACGTCCACAAAATTGGACACGAAGATCATAAGGTCTCGTAACAGGTCTCTCTTGTAAATGAGTCTTTGAGGCTCAATGAGACTGACCTGTATGAATAAAGGTTGAATGAATAAGGCTGTCCTGAGACGACTTCTGTTGTGACTTGGTGCTATATAAATAAACTGAACTCCTAAACGCGTCGACATACAGTCATCAGTGAGGGATCTGATGAAGAGAAGAACTACAAGAATCATATTCTGAATCCAGATGTACTGTCAGCATGATTAAAACACAGGAAGTTATAAACAGTAAGGAGGCACACAGCAACACATGCTGAAAACACAACAGAAAGAGGACAATTTACAAACAGAAGTTTATAAAATGTTTTCAGTTGCTCTTGAAGTAGAAATGTTCTCCTAGAAGACCCAATTCATATTCCACCCTGTCCAAGGCCTTTCCAGATGTGTCACTGCTCGCCTTTATCGATTTCCTTGTCAGAAAAATCACTTTTCCTCCTCTTAAACCACTCGGCCACCTCATAAGAGCAAAGTTTTCTCTTTACAGTACCTTTTGCTATATTTTAGTTAAAAATAAAACAGTAAAACAAGTATTTTTCACCAATAAAAGGGGTGTGTGCGCTGGTGCATGCTGAAACATAAATGTATAATTCGTTCCATCTTCCAGCTTAGATTTTGCTTGCGAACATTGCATATTTGTGTGACGGGAATTTGATTGGCCATATGTCAGTAGTGTCAGAAAAGGTGTACAAAAGAGTATGGGTGTCACTGGTCAGACCACATGATGCTCTGTCAGTAGCTATGTTTACATGGACGTAAGGAACTGGATTAAACGGCCATTCGGAATAAAAATGCGTCATGTAAACACCCCATTCGGATTACTCTGAGCTGATTCAGCTCGATCTGAAAGAATTCATAATCAGAATGAGACGGTGTTTACGCCGATCCATAACCCGAACGGTGTACTTGTAAACACATAATCTGTTTGTTTTTTCCCATCGTGAAAAACTGACCTGACTACGCATGTGCGACCCATGTCACTTCCGCCTGGCTAATACAGGTGCAGAAAAAAAAAGATTTTTATAAGAATCTAGATTCCTCGTTCTGGCAATTCTGATTAGATTCTAAAAACCCATAAATCGATTTTGAAACGCGTTTAATTAAAAAAATTTTTCGCTTCTACTCCCGAGTATTCTGCATATCGCATTATGTGTCTGCTCGGATGCCGAAAAATTTTGGCCGTGTAGGCCACCGTACAGCAAGCTAGTTAGCCAGCTCCCTTTATCTGAATGGAGCCTGCTAGCGTGTAGCGAGAGGACAGCGCGATTCAACACGCTCCTACGTCGTTAAAAATTATTTCAGATCCTACAATGTTCCAGGGAAGACGGAGCTTAACAAGAGCACGGTGGTTTATAAGAAGTGTCAAATAAAATTACGGTGCAGTATTTTGGAAAATACGACAAAATGCGTGGAAGATGAAAGCGAAGCAGCCGACCAGCGAACTCTGCAACTAACTTCCAGCTGATTCCTCAAAGGCTGTGAAGATTTCCCTCTCCATCTCCTGATGTATCACAAAGGATTTACGATCAGACAGCTCAGTGGAAGGTGAGGGGTTCAGGTTTATTTTTAATACGCTGGAAGCAACGTACATTATTCCTTCACATAGATTTTTAGTGATAAAGCAACTCCACCATGAAACAAAAATAAAGTGGGAGAAGCTCTGGTTAATGCACCAGCTGCAGCTCAAAGGATTTTTCCCATATTATACTAAAACTTATAGACAAGTTGTACAACAAACTTAATGTAATTTGTCTTTTTAACAGAGGCCAGCTGAGACACATCGCCTGGAGCCAGTTCTAAATGATACAGTTTATGATTCATAAATTACAGTTCAGAAGAGGTTTTGTGGAGACATGCACAGGCTTTTAAAATTTTGCTAAAGATTTACCAAATATGAATCAATATGGTTAAAAAACTGTGAAGTCTGTATTTTATTTTGATTTAAAGATCAATATACTATTGTAGGCTGAAGTCTTTGTTTACTTTTACATTTATATATTTTGAATCATTTGTCTGTGATGGACTGGAGACCTGTCCAGGTGTCCCCCGCCTCCCACACAGTGATGGCTGATATGGGCACCAGTGACCCCCGTGGCTCAAAAAGGAAGAAGTGGATAAAGATGATGGATGAATTGTAGTTCCTAGATTTATTTTATTTTTTAGAAAAATTCAGGCAGCTAAGCCAATACTGGTAATTTAAGTTACAGAATTTTATGCACGCCTATATTTGTTCCTATTTTTGGTATAAATATAAAATGATGCAAAAAGATTTGATACAGTAAAGAACAAAATTATTGTTTTAAATAAATCTTTTATTTGTTTACATTGTTGTTTCATCTTTTCAGCTCGTCAGTTATAACTGAAACAAAATTTTTGACCATTTCAATAGAAAAATCATTTCTGAACTGAAAATCGTTCCTGAATCGGGGGAAAAAATAAAAAATAAATAAATAAAATTGATTTTGAATCGAATCATGACACCAAAAATCTGAATCGAATCACCAGACACAGAAATGCACCCCTACTGGCAAATGCTAATAATATTAGCATGTCAGGGAAGTAAAACTGGTCGGTGAGCGACAACATTTCTACTAGAAACTTAGAAAGAGCTCAGAATGATCTGTATCACCTGCAGCTCAGTCAGGGAGTGCAGTAACGTCTCCACCATCATTAAAACCTGTCACGGGTCATTTTGGTGCTCAGGTTTGTTTACGTGCATCACGGAAGTAGAACTTCTTCTTCGGTGTTTTTAAGGAGAGTTTACCACTCTGCGCATGTCAGTACTGCTGTTCAGAACAAAGCCCGCTGCATGTAAACACTCGTCGTGAACAGATTGTGCCCATGTAAACAACACAATGGGATTATTTAATCTGAAAACATTTCAATCCAGTGTCCATTTCAATTCAACATTTCAACAAGTCAACATTTCAATCCAAATCAGCGTTTTTTTTTAATTTTTTTATTTCAATCCAGTCAAAGAATTTTGCGCATGTTAATATTACTGGCTCTGGAGAAACAGCAGATCAACCCGATAGGTCAAAAGAGGTGTCAATGAAGAGGGGAGGGCCTACATTGCCATTTTGGCACTGTTCTTTAAATTAGAAGCATGTGGTAAAGCATAGCAGCTCTTTAAAGCAGAAATACATCTCAATGCCCCGCAGGTGAGCTGCTGTACGTTATGGGGTTTTAAGTTCTGTTGCTGATGAACCATATTATTGAAGCACATTTGACATTTTATCACAATGTACAACATAAACACTTTGTAAATCTCCTGCATTAATGTTTAATTCAACACTATAACATAATGCAACGATAAACTGTGACGTGGAAAATTAGATCCTCTGACGCTCATTCCCTCGCTGGGATAAAACATAAAAAAACTTTATTACAGCTGTCCCATCACATGATCCAACAGAAGGAGAGACGTTCCATCAGTCCTTTATAAAAACTAAAATTTAAATGCAGTTCATCAGACAGACAGCAAGTGTGTTTTTGTCACAATATGATGACAACAAACCAGAGCAATCAAACACAAAACAAACCTGTCCTACATACATGCAGGTACAGTGTGCACGCACACGC